GTTTTTTATATTTTGTTTGTGCTTTGAAGTTTCTTTAGCGGTTGGATTGGTTTTACGGAGTAGGGTTGCTAGCCGTTTGCCTAACCTTACCTCTTTACCCGGGCTTAGTACCGTCTAGTAACTAGTGAACTAGTTAACCAGGCGAGGTTAACTGATCGATAAAGAAGAAAAGATTTCTGCAAACAAGACACCAAAAATGCAGAACAATGATTAAGAAAACCAGGTTACACATTCATAAAGGGAAGAGATTGTTTCTTAACTCAGATATTTTCAGATTCGGTGGACTAAAGTAACTTTTGTTGCTCATCATAGAACAAGAACCAAAGTAATTTTTTAACGTAACAATTTTACTCTCATTATAAATAGCATGCAATAATTAACCTTTGCGAAGCACATATAGGGTATGATCTAGTTTTATGTTAAAGTATTAATACTAAAAGTAAAATTTAGGTTTAATCTATGGAATAAGTATATTGTGTACATTCTTCATTGGTTATTTTCAATGTAATTCTTATGGCAAAAAGTATTCGCCCTGAGAAGGAGATAAAGGTCGTTTAAATTGGTAAACAATAAAAATCTCGATTAACTTCAAGGAAAATAATGTAATTAAATTCCAGTATGATTACTGACTGAAAATATAGTTTAATGAACTAGGGGATTTCCGTATTACTTCCTAGAACAGTGAAGAAAAGTTTCTATTTGACAATAACATTTACTAAAGCTGTACAATTAAGAGAAAATGAAGGGCAAGTCATACAGCTACAGGCGAATACAAACATAATCTTGGCTCAGTTAGATGAAAGACTAAGGAATTGTGGTAGTAAATCTATCTGGATATCTGGAAAAATTGTCAAACCTGTTATCTGATAGGACAAAGTGACAAAAACTATCCATCCAGAAAGATACAAGGAAACAAGTGAATGAACAGTTCCGTGATTATTATGAATCAGTATAAAGAACGTAGATCATGAAGTTTACTCATTTGAATGTTATATAGATTAGGTAACGTAAAAAAATGGGATGTTCCTACTCGACAAACAGTAGATATGAACATCATCTGATTGCTCAATGGTTGGTTAATATCTTTACACCGGTAAGCACACATATAGCGAAACATACTCTCTAGAACACATTTGATTTTGAAACAATTAGTCCCTTATGTAAATCTGGATAAGGTAATTGGAAGACGTAGATTGTCTGAACAATGTAAGGTATTTACGCTTTACAGTTCAAAAAATTTGATCACGTATTCACTTGTCATGTCGCTTTCTGTAAAAACTGGAAGTGGGATAATGACAAATATGACATAAAGGAATTTAATAATATGAAAGATAATGAAGGGAGAATGATAAGACTTGAAGAGAACCTTGGTAATATGATAAGTTAAGCATTAACAGTGTAGGTTTGGCTTAAAGGCAAGCCGTTTGTGAGCACACAATGGTGGCCGAAATTTGTGTGTGGCTAGAACTTCAACAAACCTTGACATCTATACCCACAAACATGAATAAGCACAAGTGCCAGAAAGTCACCATCGTCCATAATAATGATGGATAGTGGGTAAAAGTGGAATTCAGGAGGCACGTTCCATCCTATTCGGGACTCGTCAAATGCATGGTGCTGCCTCCCATTGAGCGATATTGTTTCCTTTAATGTAAGTGACAACATAAGAGGATCACAGTTTTATTATATTTGATGAAGAATTTGATTTGAACGATCTCATCAACCCGTTTAGTGCTGCATATTATAATAATTATTATTTGTCCCTTGGGTTCCCAAGGGAACATACGGCTTCAGTAACACTTCTCTGTTTCACTCTGTTCCCTTCAGTCTGTTTAACCTGACTTCACAACTGCACATAGGCTTTCATTTCTTCCCAAAACAATCTACTCCATGTCACCCTCACCTCTGATGCCCAACTCGTCGTTTCCAGTTCGCCTTCCACTCGACAGCCCGACATAGTCTGGCGCCTGATGTCCCCAATACGTCTCCCCAGCCTGCAACCAGTTCAATACAATCCATCTCCACTTTCTTCTACTACACATTTGTTGGGTGATGAGTTTTTGGTTGATTCGTTGCCAAGTCACAGTGAGTTCCTTGTTGCTTATTCTTATTATTCTGACCATCTCTCTGATCTTCAGTATCGAGTGAGCGTAGGTGGCAGTTGTTGATGTATGATGTCTGCAGTTGTTTGTTGGAAATGCTTTTGGTAAGGCACCACCAAGTCTCTCAACTATCACATGGATGCACTGACTTGATTGATAATGGCGTTGAAAATCCGGATGTTGTTCACGCTTAATGCTGAGTGGAGTGTAGTGTAGTGCAGTGAAGTTGAGTGCAGTGGATCTCCACACTGATTTCTGACAAATGAAGGCCTGTCTTGCTATCTTTCTGATCCTGACTTTGACATCCCATCTGTGCCGCCGCCGTTGTGTGTAGTTGAAACGATGGTGCCTTTCCTAGGTAGGCAGGTAGGTAGGTAGGTGAAAGAGACAACTTCGTTTAGATTTCTGCCATTGATGGTGATTGGTGCTTGTTGTTGTTGTTGGTGGTGGTGGTGATGGTTGGTTATGTTCATCACCTTTGTCTTCTCTACTCCCACCTGAAGGAAGTCCCATCTTCCTTCGCTGCCTCGTCTCTTCTGCCAACGTCTTGGTTTTTTCCTGTAGGTCTTCGACTTTGTGCGACAAGACATTAGACATAAATCATCATCAGCGAAATCCAAATCTTCCTCTGGGGTCTTTTCACCGGTCAACACAGCGAATAACCCTCTTCTCGCTCCTCATAGTTGTCAATTGCATGATCCAGTCAAGTCCAGTCGACCGAAATCGGGCCTATTACCGGAGATAGTAGCCAACCTTGTCTAACTCCTGTCTTTACCTCAAAGTCATCGTTCAGCTTTCCATTGTCAATCATTTTGCATGTAGCATCATATAGTATAGCGTATAGATGTTGAATGAGGTTGATAAAGGTTTGTGGCACTAAAACCATATAGTTGAAGCAATTGACAAATTACTTGTCGGTTGACGCTATCGAAGGTCTTTTCAAAGTCGCTGAAGTTGAGGCAGAGTAAAGTTGACTGCCATTCTATGTTCTGTTCTGTTATGATCGAAAAATAGTCTCTATAAGCAAAGCATGTATCTGTGACGTACATAATTGAATGATGCAACTGTAACCATTACTTTAACTGCTGGGTTTGTTGTTCGTAGTTACACCTCCTTACCTAGAAGGAACTAAGCATTACAATATGAATCGTCCATTCTTTTAATGATGTATTCAGTACAGTGTGTTAAAATACCTAACAGTTCAATACTTCCTTAGAATAACAGTAATCAAATTTGATAACCTTCATTTTTGTAAATTTTAGACTACTTGATCAACTTAGTACCCAAGAATTAGGAAGCCTTTTCGAATGAAGGCATTTCCTTAGAAGCCTTTGATAATGAAATTGTATGACATTAAGTTTTTCATGTCCTTATATCTTATGTCCTATTGGTTTTCATTTTAATGGCATTTGTCAACTACTAAACGAATAAAACGTCTAGTATCTTAAGTGTAGTAATAATGATTCTGAATAACCACTACTAACAAAGCCTTCAGTATTCAAGATGAGCAAATTGAGATTTTCACGAATTCATTGTTGACAGTATCACTCAAGGTTTGATATTTCATTCCATGGCAGTATACACCAGTTATAAATGAATCTGACAATCTGAAATATTTACTACTTATCTCAAATATCATAAGATTTGGATTTCGGTGGTGATTTATGTCTAATGTTCTTTTGCACAAACTCGAAGGTGTACAGGCGAAAACTAACAAGTTGAAAGAAGAGGCAGGGCAGCGAAAGAAGATGGGAGTTCAAGTGAATGTAGAGAAGATGAAGGTGATGAAGATACCCAACCAACAACAGCATCAACAATGAGAGGCACCATTCACCATGAACGGGTGAAACCTAGAGGAGGTAGTCTCTTACACCTACCTATGTGTGGCAGCATCGTTCCAACGACGAGGATACCAAAGCAGCCAGCATCCGAAAGACAGCATGACAGGCGTTCATTAACCTGAAATCAGTGTGGAGATCTACTGCACTCCACTGCACTGCACTCCACTCCACTCAGCAAAAACAGTGTGAACAACATCCGGATTTTCAACACCAATCTAGTCAAGTCAGTGCTGCCATATGACTGAGAGACTTGGCGTGTCACGAAAAGCACTTCGAACAAACTACACACATTCATCAACAACTGCCACATACACTCACTCGATAGTGAAGATCAGAAAGATGGCCAGAACAATAAGAATGAGGGAGAAGAAACTGTGGTTGGCTGGCTGGCTGGCAACGAACCAACCGACAACCTGTCTCTCAACAAGTATGCAGTAGAAGGAAGTGAAGATGGATTGGGCATTCACTGAGAAGGTCGATTGATGACATGACGCGACAGGCCAGGCCGTCGAGTGGAATCCAAATAGGAAACGAGGAGTTGGGCATCGGGGCGATGTTGACATGGAGGAGATGGTGTGAGGAAGAGATGAAAGCTTGTGAGGATTCTTGGAGCAAGGTTCATGAGACTGTAGAGAAGAGAGTGAGATTGAGGCGTGCTACTGAAGCCCGATGTTCCACTAGGAACGGGAGGGGGAAAAAATCTTAAACATCATATGATAGGATAGTTGAGTGTGTGTGTGTGTGTGTGTGTGTGGATATTCAGTCACGATAACTTTGTTATTTCGTCGAAAGATTACTTGTGATATACTGTTGTGTTAACGTAATTGTTCAGAGAGGAACAGAATAAACACCGAAGAAATATATTTCAAGAAAAATCTACTCTTCAGATACTAAACTTTTACTGATGCCTAACCATTTACATAGAAATTTTTAAATGTAACTTACGAAGAATTAGTAACTATAGATTAGATGATTGACACAATTATTTTTTTATAAGAAATAAAAAATCTTGACTTAAATTTCATTTATTAAAGTCGTAAAATTATTTTCCACTTAGACTCTTTCCAGAAGGTTGGGCAAAAAGAGTATCATCAACCAGTTTAAAAATAGATGATATTAATCTTTGTAAAAAAAATAAATTGAATGCTTTTCCTGAAGTTCCTATCGACGTTAATGGAGTAAAAAGAGCTGGTGAAGCAGTCGATCGAGTGATTGAAACTATTCAAAAGAAACGAAACCAGGTAACTCTTTTTCAATGACAGGTAAATTATTTTGAGTTTTCATTATGTTATATTTTCAGAAAAAGTTCAACCATTTTCATCCATCTGAAAGTTATATTTAACGTTGAGAAAATTTAGTTGACTTTTATGCTTACTTCAAATACCTTACCTATAGGAAGTATATATCTTCAATAATGAGAAATAACACTTCTGTGGAAGACGTTAGGATTCAGAGAGTAATACGACTGTGTGTAAAGGTTTCATATTTCTTATTACTCATCAAAAACGTTTACATATGAGGTTGGGAAAGTTATTTCCCTTATCGGAACTGGCTTTGGTATTACAGCATCAGTAAGAATACTCTTCTGACCTATCGGAATGATATACAAAATAGAAAAGATTGAATAAGTCTTAATTAGGTCTTGAGAGCAGATCAAATACTTTCATATGAATTGCATAATATATATTCAGTTGAATGCTGTAAACGTTTTGATTATTTTTATCTTATTTATCCCTTGGGTTCTTAGTGGAACATACGGCTTCAGTAGCACGTCTCCAGTGTACTCTGTTCTACGCAAACTTTTGAATCTGGCTGCACGACAGCTCAGAAGCTCTCATTTCTTCCTCACACGATCTCCTCCATATGGAGGACGAATTTACACCTTCATATACACATAGTTAATCTGTAAAGGATATGAAAATAAATCAATTTTATCGTATATAGTAATAGAGAGTAATATACTTACAATATACAGGAATTTTCACAATCTTCTGATTTTCATTCCATTTCACAGCCTTTAGAATACATTTAAATCCTAAATCATTTGATGAATATCATTACTTTCGAAATGTTTTATCCATTAAAAAGGTGTATGTTACCGACTTATAAACGCAACACCTACACAGACAAACATTGGAAAGGTAGGTATATGTAATCAGAGTCTTATCGCTTTATTAGGAGTCAGAATGAATTCATTTACGTTATTGTGATCAATTTTGAGCCATATCATTAACTATAAGCACCCCTCATGTAAATAACTCTGCAATTGGCAATTACAAAAAGTATAAAGAAAGAATCGATGATCCTTTCCGATAAACACAAAGATATGTGATACTGGAAATACCAATAACTGTTACATCTGTTCAACAAATTACCAGTAGTACAGTTTTGCTCTATGGTAAGATTATACACCTATCAGTTTGACTACTTGAGATAGCTGTCGTTTGGGAGACTTGTAGTGATAGTAGTAGATGACTGAACCTGCCTTGGCAGGATTCGAAGCATCGTCCTCCAGGTTACCGACATGGTGCTCTGCCAAGTGAACTATAAGACCTGGTTGCTGATGAAATATCTCTCAAGATATAAAGTGCTTAGGATCTTCCCTTTCTCTATATATTATTAAACAAAAAAGAGATTCTAGGTATGAATGCTGACTGAAGCTGGCTTTTTTAATAGCAGCTTTGGGCACAGCTAATGATAAGATTTTAACATACCTGTTTTGGTGAGTCTTTAAACTCAACTGACGCTAACTTGCAGAATGACTTTAAATAGGGTTTCAGAAGCATCGTTTCACTAAATATCTAGCGTAACTTGGTAGTCCTGCAGTCTGTTTTATGAAGTTTAGGAAACAATTTAGAACCATGATGATGACTACTATTACTATTACCCTTATTTCACTTAGTTTTCGCCCAATTACATTCCGTTTATGAATACTTAAGATATAGTTATCTGCGTGTTAAGTTCGGGACAAGCAGTCACGGTGGATATTCAACCAGTTAGCAGAATATAACATACATATTACACTTATCAGTTTGACTTATAATACAATGATACAGAATTATTTACTGAATGATGTTTCAAGTATAAATTATTATCCCTCATAATCATATCATTGTGTAATCACACTATTATCAATATCTGATTTTGATAGTCCTATCACATCACATTATTCGTTCTATGGTATACGTGTTGCATCATTTCTATCACGTGTTGGGTGGTGGCTGATTTAATGAACAAAAATCCTGCAATCAATCCCTCTATCTCTCCACCTAGTCATGTTGAACTTCAGTACAGTGGTTTTATCTCACCTTATTGTAGGGACGTGTATCAATGTATGCATTACAATAACCGAAAATCTTCCAGATTATTGACCTAACTGGGTTATGTCATTCTATATTTAGCTAAGTTCCTGTGTTCGGCTATTCTAACTGACCACGACAGGCTAGTTTCACCTCTGTACTTGACCTCACAGTCATTCACTACATGGAATTTGATAGATTAGATTACTTTGCTGAATTGGACCTATCGGATCCTTAATTTTTATCCTCTGCAGTTTATTAAGAAATTCGTACGAACATATACGAAAAGAAATAGCACAAGTATGAATAATAACGACAACATAGCTTTCGGGCACCATATTCAATTGTCTTATAAAAGCAGAAGAAGCACTTTGGATGCCACCATTCTCTTATATCGCGATATTATTGACAGTCTTGATGAAAATTCCAAGTATGTCAGGTGTTCCTTTTTAGACTATACTTCGGTATTTGATTCCGTCCCAAGACCTCTTTTGCTGGACAAGTTAACTGGGACAAATAGTGAGCTCTGAATAATCGGTTGGCTGCATTGCTATTTCTTTGATAGGAAACAACTTTCTGTCCACAGAGGGAAGCGCTTCACCTCTTCGCTTACGTAAACTGATAATAATAGTAATAATAATAATCATTCTATTGTGAACCCTGTTTCTGGAATACTCTACAGAATTTTCAGCAAATCATATAGCATCAGCTGAATAAAGACAGTGTATACGTAAACATAACAAAATGAAATAAGTAGAAATTACATATATGAAAAAGATAAGAATATTCACTCTATCCACAACTTTCTTCAAAATGCACAGTTAATTTAGGCAGACAATCACATTGGCAGTTAGATTCATAATACGTCAAAAGTAACACACTCATTTTCCGTTAGTTTGTTAAAAAAACAGAAGTTGACTGGTCATTTGATAAAATAACTCCTGCCACACGTTTACGTAAGTTAATATGCTCGTCAACAACTGTTTAACAGGCACACCACTAGTTCTTCTGACAATCTTCAAAGTTCAACACAACGTAGCAGTCTTCATTCAGCGACCCGGGAAGAAATAAATGGAGAACAATAGAGGACAGCGGGGCAAGATGCAGGAGTTAAAAAACACAAGAGGGGAAACTAAGCTATACCAGATGCTCTTAGCTTCTTAATATACAAAGTTAGTTAGAAAATTCTTGTGGAAATTATTAAGATATGGGAGGACCAGAAAAGGTTCTAAGAAAAGCATACACCAAGATAAATCACACTTGTGACGTTCTCTAATACGTAACTATCAAGAAAACAGGAATCACAGAACTGATCAGTTTACATAAGTTATATTCATGTCTGGAACTAAAGCTTATGGTGTCACATTTGAAGAATTAGGCATAAAACTATTCTCCGAGGACCATCGTTTTGCAGCAGATAGGAAATCATTCAGCTGGAAGCAATCTGCTGAAGAGTAGATGGGTATGGAAACTGTTAGATCATCTGCATATTTGATGAAATTGATACCATCTGAAAATGGTTCGTTATGTAGAAAGAATGAGAAAGAACATGGGGAAAGGATGGGTCCTTGGGAACAGCAGTCACAGTAAGCGAAGAGGTGGAGCGCTTCCCTCTGTGGACAGAAAGTTGTTTCCTATCAAAGAAATAGCAATGCAGCCAACCGATTATTCAGAGCTCACTATTTGTCCCAGTTAACTTGTCCAGCAAAAGAGGTCTTGGGACGGAATCAAATACCGAAGTATAGTCTAAAAAGGAACACCTGACATACTTGGAATTTTCATCAAGACTGTCAATAATATCGCGATATAAGAGAATGGTGGCATCCAAAGTGCTTCTTCTGCTTTTATAAGACAATTGAATATGGTGCCCGAAAGCTATGTTGTCGTTATTATTCATACTTGTGCTATTTCTTTTCGTATATGTTCGTACGAATTTCTTAATAAACTGCAGAGGATAAAAATTAAGGATCCGATAGGTCCAATTCAGCAAAGTAATCTAATCTATCAAGTTCCATGTAGTGAATGACTGTGAGGTCAAGTACAGAGGTGAAACTAGCCTGTCGTGGTCAGTTAGAATAGCCGAACACAGGAACTTAGCTAAATATAGAATGACATAACCCAGTTAGGTCAATAATCTGGAAGATTTTCGGTTATTGTAATGCATACATTGATACACGTCCCTACAATAAGGTGAGATAAAACCACTGTACTGAAGTTCAACATGACTAGGTGGAGAGATAGAGGGATTGATTGCAGGATTTTTGTTCATTAAATCAGCCACCACCCAACACGTGATAGAAATGATGCAACACGTATACCATAGAACGAATAATGTGATGTGATAGGACTATCAAAATCAGATATTGATAATAGTGTGATTACACAATGATATGATTATGAGGGATAATAATTTATACTTGAAACATCATTCAGTAAATAATTCTGTATCACTATGTGTTATAAATCAAATAAATAAATCTAGTAGATAACTGAATCATACCACAGTGTTCAAGTTTAACACCTTTACTAAGAACATAACCTACTTTGTGATTTATTACTCTATACACTGTCAATGAACACGTGAAGAGCACATATAATAGTAGCGGTTGTGTAACTGCAGTTATGTAACTTAATAATTTAATGGTTTGTCTACTATTTATCAAAGTCTGTTAAATATATAAATAAATAGGTACTGAAGAACATGATTGTTTATAGTTGCATAATAACCTTCTGAACTCGAAGTATAACTCTTGTATAGACAGTGATCTAAGGCCTTCGACAGCGTTAACCGAGAGGTAATTTGGCAGTTGCTTCAACACTACGGACTACCACAAACCTTTATCAATATAATTCAATAACTATATGAAGACTCCACATGTCAATTAATTCACAAGGGGTAGCTCAGTGATGCCTATGAAGTGAAGACAGGAGTAAAACAAGGCTGTTTGCTATCACCCATGATATTCCCAACTGTAGTGAACTGGATCATGCAACAAAAGGGAAGGAGCGAGAAGAGGGGGATACTCTGGACCGAGGAGAAGATCCCAGAAGATTTGGATTTCGCCAACAATGCCTTGTCGCAGCTGAGGGTGACGTATGGGAGATGGTGTGAGGAAGAAATGAGAGCTTGTGGGCTGTCGTGGAACCAGGTTCAAAAGTTTTCAGAGAAGAGAGTGGAATGAAGACGTGGTAGTGAAGCCATATGTTCTATTAGGAACTTCAAGGGACAAATAATATAATAATAGACAGTGATCTATGAAATTCACTTGAGATTAACTAAAAAGCCAGGTAAAATTCTAATTTTTTCATATTATGAGGTGAGTAAAAAGGTGATCACGTCAAATCTTACTTTGAATGTCTAAGTTGATATATATACATATGTTAACTGATGTTCATCGAGAGCCATCTTGTTAAGAGTCAGTCTTTAATTGTGTTGTGATTTAACATCGCAAATATCTATAGCTTCAATCGACCTATTTTTACAAAACTCAATTACTATTACAAAGGTATATAAGTTATGGAGGTGAATAGTATTTAATTGACTAGCGTTTGGTCAGTTTTAAAAGTACTACAAACTGAATACAACCCGTCTGTATGATGGTTGTTTCAATATCATTCGGGATAGCAACTTACTAGATGATGGATGGATCCAGTTGACGACTTCTGCATTCACAATAACCTAACCTCCAGTCTACACTATGCTGCTAACTATTATTTACTACTGTATACCTTTACCAAGGTGCATGTAGTATAAGGAATTTTGTTTTCTTATGAAGATTAGGATCATGTATGTCACTCTTCCTATTTCATTCTCATCTTTCCTCATTTTTATTCTCCCATTATCTCAATTGTTCTATATGTCGTCCCATCCTTCAGTCTTTGTATATATTAACCTCATAAGTAAGCGTTTGATCAAATTGTTCAAAATATTTTGCAAAAATACAACACAAGTTTGTTCAGATACACTTCATCTTCTTTTAATTACACTATCTAAACTACATAACTAACTATTTGTTACAAATGAGATCTAAACTCTTTATGAGAATTTTTATTTGTATATTTTTTGTTTTGTTTTACAAACGGTAACTAACTAAAGAAAACTGGGAATAGTAACACAGAATTATATACCAACAATTCTGGTCAAACACTCTTCAAATCTTCACAATCCAAAATACCAAGGTTAGTATGATTATGTAAAATCCATCTGTTCAAAAGACTCCCTAATCCTATTTTGTATCTATGCTTAGTTGCAATTATGCCTATACACATATAAATTCAGTTGTAAACACAATCGAATTTACATATGAATTAGAAAGTGATAAAACACAGTTAGAGAGGTTGACCTGGAGGATAAAAGAAAAAAAACCACGACAGTTTAGATGGTAAGTGTCTACATAAAACATTTACATTCGAACTACTATTTAGATTTCAAGTCATCTTATCCTGTTCCACTTTAAGTGGGCTTAGTAAAATGTCTAAGTAATCAGACCAAAAAGTCTTATTAGCAAAAAGGTTTGACACAAAAAATTAAATCAACTAAGAACATATAATTGCTAATGATTACTGTTGTCAATTAATCAGTAAATTAATTTATAATTGAAAGAAAACAATGAGCAGGATTGGTTACAAAGATGCCAGTAATAATAATGGTAACATTGGGAAGGCAAACATCAAAACTAGTTAGTTGTTACCATACAGATTAGGCACCTAAAAGACACTAAATATTATTCTGCATTATTACGGGATTAGAATAAGCTTTGTAGGCTCAAATATCCTACTGATTCAACTCGGTAAAATAATTCAGCTTACCTAGTCCTTAGCAATGGTTGTGAGGTTAAATAAATAGGTTAATGGGGTTAACCAAAGTCAGTAAAACTGTCCGAGTAGAAAAGCGAGGCTAAATTCCAATAAGAAAACCAGAGGAAAGCTTGGCTACACCTTAGTCATAAAAATACACATCATCACACAATAGGATTGGATAGAATAATAGTTTTAAAAACTTAGCTGAATAACGAGAGATATGAATAACCGAATATATTTATCGAATCAATAGGAGTGATTCAGAATCTGTAGGGAAACTTTTCCCATTCTTGTTATCAAGTAATAAAGAGAATATGAATCATATTAACCATGCCTCAAAGTTATGAAGTTATCTTGATATGAATATGGAGAATTAATTGTATCCGAAAAGTATTCAAGTAAATAATACTGTTGTATTATTTTGGTATTTGTATTTCCCAATGAGAATGTAAGACAAAATAAATTTGTTTCAACTGATGTTTGGCTATTTAGTGGTAACAGCTTTATCAAAGTTACGGCAAACAGAAATTTACAATTTCCCCCAAGCTTATATATGATAACTTGACAAGTGTTCTGCTGTATGAATGATTCCGCGTTATCAGAATTGTAGAATAAAGGTGATATCCATATGTAATGTGTTGTGCGTGTGAATTACAGATTGAGATTTGTACCCCTACATGTATTGATAATTGTTATCACACGTCTGTTGGTTGTCAGCGGGTTCGGGTGGGTTGAGGTCAGGTTAAACTACGCCTCACTCCGTTTTTCCTATTTAGACAATTATGATTCCACTTAATGAGAAGAGATTCTGACGATTCAAAATCACTCATGCAGAAGAACACTTGTCAATTTATCATTTTTAGGTTTTGATATCGTAAATTCCGGTTTACTATAGGCAAAACCAAAAAGTTGGCAGAAAAGGTGAGGCGAGGCAGTGAAGGAAGACGGAACTTCTTCAGGTGAGGGTAGAGAAGACATAGGTGATGAACATACCCAACCACCAACAATAACAACAAGCACCATCAATGGGAAAAATCTAAACGAAGTTGTCTCTTTCACCTACCTACCTACCTACCTACCTACCTACCTACCTACCTACCTACCTACCTACCTACCTACCTACCTACCTACCTACCTACCTACCTACCTACCTACCTACCTACCTACCTACCTACCTACCTACCTACCTACCTACCTACCTACCTACCTACCTACCTACCTACCTACCTACCTACCTACCTACCTACCTACCTACCTACCTACCTACCTACCTACCTACCTACCTACCTACCTACCTACCTACCTACCTACCTACCTACCTACCTACCTACCTACCTACCTACCTACCTACCTACCTACCTACCTACCTACCTACCTACCTACCTACCTACCTACCTACCTACCTACCTACCTACCTACCTACCTACCTACCTACCTACCTACCTACCTACCTACCTACCTACCTACCTACCTGCCTACCTAGGAAAGGCACCATCGTTTCAACTACACACAACGGCGGTGGCACAGATGGGGATGTCAAAGTCAGGATCAAAAAGATAGCGAGACAGGCCTTCATTTGTCTGAAATCAGTGTGGAGATCCACTGCACTCAACTTCACTACACTACACTCCACTCCACTCAGCATTAAGCGTGAACAACATCCGGATTTTCAATGCCATTATCAATCAAGTCAGTGCTTCCATGTGATGGTTGAGAGACTTGGTGGTGCCTTACCAAAAGCATTTCCAACAAACAACTGCAAACATCATACATCAACAACTGCCACCTACGCTCACTCGATACTGAAGATCAGAGAGATGGTCAGAATAATAAGAATAAGCAACAAGGAACTCACTGTGACTTGGCAACGAATCAACCAAGAACTCATCACCCAACAAATGTGTAGTAGAAGAAAGTGAAGATGGATTGTATTGAACTGGTTGCAGGCTGGGGAGACGTATTGGGGACATCAGGCGCCAGACTAGGTCAGGCTGTCGAGTGGAAGGCGAATTGGAAACGATGAGTTGGGCATCAGAGGTGAGGGTGACATGGAGTAGATTGTTTTGGGAAGAAATGAAAGCCTATGTGCAGTTGTGAAGTCAGGTTAAACAGACTGAAGGGAACAGAGTGAAACAGAGAAGTGCTACTGAAGCCGTATGTTCCCTTGGGAACCCAAGAGACAAATAATAATAGTAAGAGGTGGTTTTCTGTACTTACCGTGTGGTCATAATGGATCAGTTGCTCCAAAATAGAGCTGTAAAGTGTTCTCCTTTCTCATTTGTGGAACCTGGCTGGTATATGTTCAGGAATGCGTTTGGAAGCGAACTCTGATTACGGCCAATATACCTTACTCTAAAGTAGTAAGTGAATCAAAGCATTGGGTGGATGGAGAAAGTTAATCTGAGTTTGGTGGCGTAGCAAGTCTTTCTCCATGAGCATGCTAGATGGTTTCTCAATGTATCTGTTGATGAATCTCCGTTGAACTATAAGCTAATAAAAAAGAGGCCATTTTTAGGAGCGCAGAAGTGAAATTATTAATTGCTTACATTTTCATAATCTTAGCAGTGAAACTCATTCTTTAAGATAACATAGTAAAACAGTATCGTTTACTGGATAAGTTTTCGAGCACAGCCTACTCCTTATAAATCATATTAAGTTGCTGGAAGTTATACGATTACTTCAATAGGATTATGTGCAGTAAATTGTGTTCAAAACATCATCTTGTAAATAATTATGTTCGACTGTGTAATACATAGAATAAAAGAGTTAAAATGCAGAATGGTTGGATCATTTATCTCAAGTATTAGAAGAGACCACAGTTCGATTCGAACAAATATTTGTGATAAATATCGTATAACGTGAACAGTACTTGAACAACAAAATATTTAGTTCAGGAAACCAAAAATGATAGTCATTTATTTTGGAGTACATAGTACATGCTGATTGCCTCCATCAAACTAACATTTACCAAAGTGCATCGTGATGTTGAGTTACCTAGCTTAGTCGCCACATTTCAAAATGATCCATAGAAATCAATCAGCACTCAGGACTAGGTAATATAAAGTTGGTTACCCTCCAGTAGCCAATCAGTGTGCCTAATTCAATCCTACAGGAGGTCAGTAGAGGCTCGAATACCTCGGTGGTGACGTCTTTAACTACAACACTGAGTAGCGTGAGTTCGAACCTCAGGTGGTAAATCATTTTTATAGGAGTTCCAGATACGTCTTGCTGATGAGTATCAAAAAGCACGAAACCCAGGTCCACGGCTCCCTATTGATTACTTTAATCTAACTAACATAGAGGTTTTATTTGTTTCTAAATAGTATTCATCAGGGACTGACATCAGTTGGAGAACCATTGAAAAGTGAATTTGATGCCAACTGAAGACGGTGGTGGATAATTGAGCTACATCGTGAATCGACCACTGAACACTGAACCAACAACTGAATAGTTAACGAGTTTGTCACGAGATTTTAAGGCCCTGAGTTTGTTACCTAGTGGGGTCATGGGTGTTTTCTGCCAAGACGTTTCACACTAGGAAGAAATAGGTATCCAGTACTCCAAGTTTTCCAGTCGTTCTCTAAATGATTTCAGTCTGTGATGAGTATCAGTCTGTAAAGCAGTTTCATTTTTCCCTACCAAAAGTAACTTTATATATAATAATGATGAACAGTGGCTAGCAGTGGAATCCAGGATGCGTATTTTATCCTATTTGGGACACAGGCAATATCGAGGCATCCACACAGGGGCCCATATGCCATTAGAGACCGATCAGTTCGGTCCAATCAACGACTGTATAACACAAGCAATTATACTAAAACTTTACCCGTCGCACAAGAAGTGGCTATCGTGGCTCGGTGGTGTAGTGGATAACGCTCCGGCGTTTAAAGCGGTCGTTCCTGACCCCGAATCCCGGTGGAAATAACATCACTCACCGGGAGGCGGGTACAGCCAACTGACGAGTCCCAAATAGGACGAAATGAGCATCCTGGATTCCACTGCTAGCAACTGTCCATCATTACTATACATAGTTAAAAGACAAGCAATATCAAGGCATCCGCCCAGGAGCCCATATGCTAATAGAGACCGATCAACTCAGTTCAATCAGCGATGATATAATACAAGCAATAATACTAAAAGTAACTTAATGTAACTTTTTCATTTGATTTATTTAGTTTCCTTGTACAAAAATCACGTGTTCAACGAATGATTGATGACTTTCTTAACAAAGCTAAAAAACGGTAGGTGAATAGTAATTTCCATTCCTCCTGAATTATTTTATATTTTAATGACAATATATACTTTGCTCAATGAACAGATTCATATGTTATACTGAAAAGGTAAAAAAACACAACTCTAGCCAGTTTATTCTACTAATATATATGTAACATGCTTTCCATCAATATACTTATAGTAGCATATGGTCAAACACTGTCTACTCATATGCTGATGATATCGTCTGGAAAGACGATGAAAGCTTCACGTTTGAACAACCCAGCTCAGAGAACATAATACAACCAAGACAGCTTCATTATTATAGATTGAAATATCAGTCAAATATTACTCCAGCGGAAAATACGTAAATTCTAGGCATTTTTAAACACCCCATTGACATCAACTATACAATAGGCTGCTTTTAAGGCCATCCTAGCTACGATGGAAACCACCAATTAGGTCTCTTCATTTCGGCTTGAAAACAGATCGATTTGATTGGTTATTTTAGTTGTTGCTAGGGTAGCTTTTAAGGTCACTCCTACTCGACTACTGAAAACAAAAAAGTAGTGAACTGTTTCATTTTTATTTATATTTTTAACCACTTTCATAGGTCATATCCAGAAATAAAAAAACAGAACAAGCTTTTATGTACTGGACTATGAGTAACCTTTTTCAGGTGAGGATTTGTGAAACTATTCGGATGCCTAGACTGGGATAAGTGGAGTAAGAATTGAACGGTTCAGTGTCGAAACTGATGAATTACATTTCTACACTGAATAACAGGGCCAAAATACTTACTAGTAAAACAGAAGATCTAAGACAAGAAACCAGATACATTAAAAATAGCTTACTGATCAGCAATTACCCTGCCAAATTAATTGATGAGTTCCTTAGGAATCGTAAGAAAAATATTGGTAGCATATGTGTTAATAGTAGTGATAATAATGTTATTAATACCAGTGGCAATCCTGCGAAGAGAGAATTCAAAACCTCTATAGTGTTACCATACTAAGAAAGTACGTCAGAAACACTATGTAGGATTTTCGGTAAGGCTGGCTGCGATTAGAGTGGCGTTTAAATCTACAAACTGACTTAGAAACAAGCTTCGTAGGTTGATGGGATTGCATTGATCCAATTAGGCTATTTAACTTAGTTTACCAAATCCATTGCGGCATTGTACAACGAAAACTGGCAAACCCATATGAGGTAAGGAATTTAGAGAAAACCTCAACCATAGCTATGCATGCGACTATACACACAATCACACAGTAGAATGGGACAGATCACGTTGTAGGGAAAGATTGATAACTGCAACCTAATTTATCGAATCATCACCTAAATACATGCAGCTATATGAATGATTCTGCAGTTGTTCCGGAGATATGTAAAATCTTACTACGCATATCACAAAAGGGGCAAGGACATTAAGACCAATTGTATAAAGGATATCTCAAAGTTGTATAGTCATCTCGATATGGCTATGGACGATAAATTATGTCCGAAACATAATCCAGTAAACAATACTGTTCGAATAAATCAATAAAAATGGAATTACATTCTACTACAGTGCATAAGTTGTACTCTTATAATCTCATATATTTGGATTACTAGTTTATTTCTCATCATAAAACTTTTTTATTTCCTAATACTGTGTGTTTTGAAGATAAACTAACAGTATACTTATGTTATATTTACATAGTGGTTTATACACCAAAATAAGTAAAGAAAGATGTAATCCTCAAGAGGTGATACACAATCATTCAATACATCAAAGTATACCGGTTAAATCTATTCATCACCATCAAGAATATAATCAAAATTTTAGGGATTATTCCCCAACAAAAAAAGAGAATATAGACTTCGCATCTGACTTGAATGATATAAATAATAATACTTTTAATCAAGAATTTCATGGTACATATTCATCAGGATTTCATGTAAGTTTTATGCTTTATTTTATTCAGTAATTTTTATATGTAAATATAAATCACTTTTTAAAACTTTTTGTAATCTAAGTATAATGGTTTTTATATGATACTGTCGTTGATTGGACCGAATTGATCGGTCTTTATTGGCATATGGGTTCCTGCGAGGATGCTTCGATATTGCTTACGTTCTAATTATGTTAGCCACGATCCATCATTTTTCTAATCTTATTTATAAAACTTAAAAACGTGTAACCAATATGATATTTTTATGACTGTTTCATTCAGTAATCTCTACAATCTATTTATTACTTGTGATTTACACTTCTAGTTGGAACATAGATAAACGTAAGCATTCAATGAAACAGATGAATACTTTAAGACAGTTATAATATTTAATGAGTGCTTCAATTTTGATTTCAGGTTGCTATTCATCACGACTTGACATCAGTTTGAGAAACATTAGAAACCAGGGAGCACTGAGCAGCTGTTTCGTCCTCTTATGAGACTTGTCAGTGGTGTGCAACCATGAACGCCGCCCTACAGGGATCAAACTCAGGACCTTCAGGTTCCACGGCCAGTATGTTATCATTAAACCACTGGGTCAGGACTTAATAGTCCATATCTCCTGCTTCTGTTAGTTCACAATACAGAGCGACTCCCATCCATTGCGTTGTTGAATAACTGTTCTTATGTTCTACTTGGTTTAATACGCCGCCATGACTTTTCATTCACCTCTTGAAGCGACTCACGAATGTGCGTTAGATTAGTTCAGTTTCGAGGTTTACGGGGATTTGATTTCAGGTTGGTATGCACCTCTGAGGAGTCCCATACTACAGCGAAACAGCTGTCCAGTGTCCCCAAGTTTGCAACAGTTCTCCGACTGGTGCCAGCCAATAATGAATATCAACTTGAAATAATAAATCCCCACAAACCCCCAAATTTAATTGAACTAGTTCTCATTGATGACTGTCTTCGAGAGATGATTCCTGAAGTTCCAAAGAGAAGTCGTGACCGATGGGGAAAACCTGCTGGCTATGAAGACGAATACTTAATGATAACATTGGGTGATGGCCACGCTATGTCGTGAATTGGCAGAAGTAGGAAATATGGATCACTGCATTTTGACCCAGTGGCTGAATGCTAACGTGCTATCCATGGAAGCCGAAGGTCCTGGCTTCGATCTCTGAGGGGCAAGGTCATGGGTACACACTACTGAAGAGTCCCATGTTAGGATGAAAAAAGATGTCCAGTGCTCTTAGGTTTGTAATGTTCTTTCAACTGATGTCAGTTCTTGATGAATACTAACTTGGAAAATCCCTAAATCCCTACAAAAACCTAAATTAAATATTAAAACTGTTTACTGAATGGGATCACTCACTATTTTTTGCATAGCTGCCAATATTATACTTGAAATATCCCACTAATAAAGCATGAAGATAAGAGTCCTTTAAATATAAAAAGGAGTGATGACTTCAGTTTTGAAATGTGAATTAAGATAAAGAAATTTTATTGATAAGAAACTCGAAAAGGAATGAATAACCCTAAAACCTACGACGTTAAACATTTCCCTTATTTCAAGTTGTTATTCATCGTAGACTGACATCAGTTGGAGGAACAATGGAAACGTGGGAGCACTGAACAGCTGGTTGTTTCGTCCTAGCATGGGACTTCTCAACAGTGCGCAACCACGACCTTCAGGTTCAGTGACCAGCACGTTACCATTGAGCCATTGGGTCACAATCCAGTCGTCCATATTTCCAACTTCTTCTAGCTCGCGATATAGCTCAACCGCCACCCAATGTCATCATTGATTAACTGTCCTCACGAACATCAGGCTTTGCCCCCACGGGTCACGACTTTTCATTGGATCTTCGAGAATACCTCTCGAATCTAGTCATCAATGAGCACTAGTTCAACTGAATTTTGACGGGTTTGTGGGGATCTGGAAATATTTCAAGTTGTTATTCATCTTAGACTGACATCAGTTGGAGGAAACAGCTACCCAGTGCTCCCAGGTTTCCATTGTTCCTCCAACTGATCTCAGTCTACGATGAAAAACAACTTGAATTATTTCCAAATCCCCACAACTCCCTAAAAACTCAATTTCCCTTATTTATTTATTGTAAAGGAATCTCATATTTAAGGTATTCAGAAGTATGCTAGGAATATTTAATAAATTTTAAAGTATATTTCTGCTATGCAGTAGTGCTTTATTGTAATAAGTCAATTGAAATAGCATCCAGTCAGTATCAATGACATTTTTTGAGATAGATTTCATAAAGTCGTCACTTGTATAGTCCATCATGTTGACATTGAGGTAGACAACCACCGAAACCATTAATTGATGGTTATATTATCTGGCAAATTGACAAAACTAGGAAAAGCTGATCACTGGACTTCAATCTAATGACTGGATGACAGTCTGCTTACTAGGAGACCTTATAGTTCAGGCCTCGATCCTCTATGCGATGGTGCTGAGAAGTCTTAAAGTAGAACGGAAAAACTATCCAACTGGCATAGTTTTTTTCAATGTTACTTCAAATGATATCAACACATGATTAAAACTACCTTGAAATCAGTAAATCTTCACAAAAGACAGATAATAATGTCTGTATGTATCTATAACGCAGACTATAAGCTGTTGTCATCCACTTATTCAGGTGCTGATTATTACGTCTTCTCACAGATTCACTAAAGGTTTCACAAAAGGTGAAACCAATCCATTTTAAAATATTATAGTTTGTCACATGCCAAGTAATTCACAGTAGGAAGCTCAGAGATGCCTTCAAAGTGAAGAGAATAGTAAGACAAGGTTGCCGCCTACTATCACCAATGATCTGCCTGATTGTGGTCGACTGGACTGGACTGGATTATACAGCAAACAGTGAGGAGCGAGAAGATAGGCATACACTGGTTAGACCGGTGAGAAGAGCCTAGAAAATGTGGAGTTCGCCACCGATGATGATTAATGTCTAATGTCCTGTTGCACAAACGTGGAGATGTACAGGCGAAAACTAACAAGTTGAAAGAAGAGGTAGGGCAGAGAAGGAAGATGTGAGTTCAAGTGAATGTAGAGAAGATGAAGGTGATGAAGATACCCAACCAACAACAACAAGAACAACAACCATAGCACCAACGATAAGAGGCATTAATCACCATGAACGGGTGAAACCTGAAGGAGGTAGTCTCCTTCAACTACCTACCTAGGTAAGGCAGCATCGTTCCAACTACAGGTGGCGATGGAGACACAGACGAGGATATCAAAGCAGCCAGTATCGGAAAGACAGCACGACAGGTGTTCATTAACCTGAAATGAGTGTGGAGATCTACTGCACTGCACTGCACTCCACTGCACTCCACTCAGCAAAAACAGTGTGAACAACATCCGGATTTTCAACACCAATCTAGTCAAGTCAGTGCTACTATATGACTGAGAGACTTGGCTTGTCACGAAAAGCATTTCGACATTCATCAACAACTGCCACATACACTCACTCGATACTGAAGATCAGAAAGGTGGGCAGAATGATAAGAATGAGGGAGAAGAAACTGTGGTTGGTTGGCTGGCTGGCTGGCCGGCCGGCAACGAACCAACCAACAACCTATCATCCAACAAATATGCAGTAGAAGGAAGTGGAGATGATTTGACTGGACATACACTGAGATGTCTGACTGGGGACATCACGTGCCAGGCGAGTCGGTCGAGTAGAATTGGAATGGGGAACGACGATTTGTTCGTGTGAGTTGAGGGTGATATGGAGGATATTATGCGATGAATAAATGAGAGTTTGTGGTCAGTTGTGTCGCTAGCATGACGAGATTGGAGAGAAGAGAGTGGAATGGAGGCGTGCTGTTGAAGTGGTATGTTCCACTAGGAACCCATGGGATATATGATAATAATAATAATAATGGTTTATCATTTCCTTTGATCGGTTGAATCGAATTAATAAGATACCACTGGTTAATAAATTTGCGCATGGATGCTTCGAAATTACCTTTAATTTCTGTTGGCTAGTGATGATGTATAGTGTTAAGTATCATAATCCAAGATTCACATTTCGTGCACTGTTTTGGTACTCGTCAACTGGATTTACTTGTCTTCCATCGAGACTCGAACTTTAGACCTATCGTTACGAAGGTTAGGATGTTACCCACTAAACAACTGAACCATTAGCTAGGATGCAGGTACATATAGCTGACAACTCCCAAAAAGTGGGAAATATCTGCCCAGTATACAGCTGCTAACAGCTGCTCATCGTTCCTATTCTTAAGTGTTACTTTTTTTTTTCTGTATATAAGAAAAATTGTGGTAGTTATTTATATAATGATATCTAGTACTCTAATATTGTTCTCTTTCAGTCTCCAACTTTCAGTATTCATTCAAACTCACCAGATATATTTGAAAAACACAGAAATCAAATCACTTCAAATACTTATACACACCAATCTATAAACTTACTTGATAATAATGAGTTTAAGAAAAGAAATTTTTCTGTCTTTGAAAATCCCTGTGAAATTCATCAAGATTTCAATTCTAATCGAATAACTATACATTCTAATTCACTAGTTAATAGTTTTCCATTATACTGTCAACGCCAACAGAATTCTTCACCACAACAAAAAATCCCTTTTCATATTAAAGATCAAGAAAATATAAGTGATTATAAGGATCAGACAAATAATTTTACAAATAGCAACAAACAAAATATGCCTATTGTAAGTTATCATTCCATAGAAGTCAATATTTTGATGTTGATATAAAACACTAGGAAACTCTGAATCCAAATATTTTGTAATCTAGGTTATATTATATTCTCTAAGTTGGTTTGTTTAATTTTATGGAGCTTTTATTGTCTTTTTTAGACAACATTATCAGCACTAACTTCATACTGCTCAGAGAACACCTAGCTGAAAGAACACAATACAACAAAGATCATCCATCTAAGCTATAAATGGTTTTTAATCCCTTAGGAATTGTTTACTTACAAGGATCTAGACCGCTTATTACTCGGTGTCAAAGTTATCCTTCAGTTTGAAAACCTTTTTTAAAATGATGAATATATATCACCTAGGAAGATCATAAGGCTGATTTGTTGTTCTCTCAAAATGTCACTATGAACCTTGGGACAAATAACTTGAGGGGAAAATAACAAGATCCACAAAATACCAAGCCACTGACAATCGCTTTTCCAAAAAAAACAATGGATTACTTGCTACTTAGTTTGATTTCTCTCTGGTACATTTTTCGAAACTTTTTAAAGCATGAGTATTGTATACACCCGAAGCAATGAGGTATCTTTAGATGTGTGCTCATACATAAGTATATCCAGAAAACATGACTTCACTACTGTCAGTTGCATAGATTCACATACCAATTAAAGATGGTGACGGAAAGCTAGTTACCAAAGTGGAGAAACAAAGGAAACAATGGGCTGACCACTTCAAAAAGCTTTTCAATCGACCACCACCACCTGCAGCCTAGCCACTGAACCACAAGTGAACATAGGCCCTCAGACAAAAGCAGAAGTTCTGAATGCCATAAAGTTGCTGAAATGCAAGAAAGCATCAGGACCAGCTGGAATTCCACCAGAAGCACTGAAAACACACGCAGAGACAACAGCGGTGAACATGCTCACACCACACCACTACTGCAGAAGGTTTGGAAGGTAGGGAGGAAAGGTACCTGCCAACTGATTGGAAGAAACACTACCTTGTCAAACTCCCGAGGAAAGGAGACCTAAGTCTTTGCAAGAACTGGCGAGAAATCATCATGTTGTCCACTCAAAGAAAACTATTATGCCGCATCATCCCGTAGAGACTAAAATATGCGCCGATTCAAAACTGCAACCGAAACAGGCTGGCTGGATTCGGGAGAAACAAATCATATGCGGGTCAAATTGCAACGCTACACTACGCATCATCATAGAACAGAGCACAGAATTGCAGTAAACCCTCTACCTCAACTTCATCCACTTTAAAAAAGCCTTCGACTGTGTTGACCGAGAGGTAATTTGACAGGCAGCTGCTTCAACACTACAGGATTAGTAACACAAATCCTTATCAACCACATTCAACAACTATATGAAGACGCCACATGCCACGTGATCCCAAATAGAAAGCACAGTGATGCCTTTAAAGTGAAGAGACTAGAAAGACAAGGTTGCCGCCTACTATCACCAATGATCTGCCTGACTGTGGTCGACTGGACTGGACTGGATCATCCAGCAAACAGTGAGGAGCGAGAAGATAGGCATACACTGGCTAGACCGATGAGAAGAGTCTAGAAAATGTGGATTTCATCACCGATGATGATTTATGTCTAATGTCCTGTTGCACAAACGTGGAGATGTACAGGCGAAAACTAACAAGTTGAAAGAAGAGGTAGGGCAGAGAAGGAAGATGTGAGTTCAAGTGAATGTAGAGAAGATGGAGGTGATGAAGATACCCAACCAACAACAACAACAACCACAACAACAGGACCAACGATAAGAGGCATCAATCACCATGAACGGGTGAAACCTGAAGGAGGTAGTCTCCTTCACCTACCTACCTAGGTAAGGCAGCATCGTTCCAACTACAGGTGGCGATGGAGACACAGACGAGGATATCAAAGCAGCCAGTATCCGAAAGACAGCAAGACAGGCGTTCATTTACCTGAAATGAGTGTGGAGATCTACTGTACTGCACTTCAGTGCACTGCACTGCACTCCACTGCACTCCACTCAGCAAAAACAGTGTGAACAACATCCGGATTTTCAACACCAATCCCGTCAAGTCAGTGCTACTATATGACTGAGAGACTTGGCTTATCACAAAAAGCACTTCGAACAGACTACACACATTCATCAACAACTGCCACATACACTGACTCGATACTGAAGATCATAAAGATGGCCAGAATAATAAGAATAACCGAGAAGCAACTCTGGCTGTCTGGCTGGCTGGCAACGAACCAACCAACCAACAACTTATCACCCAACAAATATACAGTAGAAGGAAGTGGAGATGGATTTGACTGGACATACACTGAGAAGGCTGACTGGGGACATCACATGCCAGGCGATTCGGTCGAGTGGAATTGGAATGGGGAACGACGATTTGTTCGTGTGAGTTGAGGTTGATATGGAGGATATTATGTGATGAATAAATGAGAGGTTGTGTTCAGTTGTGTCGTCAGCGTGAGGAGAGTGGAGAGAAGAGAGTGGAATGGAGGCGTGCTGTTGAAGTGGTATGTTCCACTAGGAACCTAAGGGATATATAATAATGATAAACATATCAGTCCTACAAAAAGAGTTAGGTCTTTGTATATTCATATGGAACTTATGTGTCTTTAAGAAGACTTAACACAAAATGAACAGAAGTCTTGCTGCTTTCTTGCAAGATAATCAGTCAAGTTCTTTTCTTTTCATTTTGTTATTTTATTCAAGATGCTTTTCTGAAAACTATTTTAGTACAGCAAGTTTATTTATTGACTTAAAGCAGTAACGCTTTCAAACCGTAGAAATATCCCTCCAATCACTTCTTTTTCAATTGGATTTTGCTCATAATCAACGAAATTTCTAAATTAAGTCACGCGTTAGTCACACAATAAAAGATAAATTCACTACTATGATCCAATTAGAGCCAGTAATTCTACTGACGATCATGAGCTTTTCTTAGGAGATATGTTCTCAAGTATTTGGGTCTCATAGGAAATTTAAAGATTGAATCTCTTTCAGCATACTTCGGTCAAGGGAATCAATTAGTGAGATACCCTAGTACCTATCACAAGGCGAGTATACTGAGCTCCATACTCTCTTGTTCTGTCATATGGCTGAGACATATAGTCGTTAAAACTAGAAGATATGTAGCGGTTACAGATTTTTGACTACAGGTGTCTTCGTAGCACTGCTCACATTTGGTCGAATCTCTATATGAGCAATGTTGAGTTTAGTCAAAGGGTAATAGGTAAGGAAGGTAAGTTAGTCAGTGAAATCGTGAATCTTCATTGACTTAGACGTCTTGGAAATGTACTTCGCATGTCGCTCCACGAACTTCTTTGATGTGCCATGCTAGGAGAAGTTGGGTTAGATTAGAAAGGGTTCAGCGTGACCAGACCAAGTCGTGGCACCAGTCAGTGAAGTCTCTGACTGTTGGTCCGAGCCATGTTGGGAAATTTAGGCTGCCTGACTGAGTCTCGGAGTCGATACAAATCAGTTGTTGGGGACTCTTTGTGATATACATGGAGACCAGTCGCAATGGCACAGATGTGTTCACTATTTGACGTCTCCTAACTCTTGAATACTTGAACTGACGTTTATCTTCACGTTTTTGACTTTCTGACACAACTTTGCTTACTTTGATATCAGTCTTTTTCTATCCACTTGGTTTTTGTTTACTGTTGTGTAGAGTAATAAATTGAGCCAATGAACTTGTATGCGAGGTTCTACGTTAATTTCTTCTGTGTGTAAAATTCCCCCCTAAAAAAAGTGTGGTTAATCTGTGAAGGGTTGAGTTATACTTACATTAGGTTTTCAATCTTAGTTTTCAGAAATGTGATACCAATTTGTTCAACGACACAGCTGCTTTTGTAACTTAAGGACTAAAAAAGCTGTTGGGTTTGTGTTAAGTTTATATCTTTTTTAACGTACTCACCCTTGGATTCTATTGCTGACACTGCAGTCTTTTTTCTGAATCTATGATCCTGTTATCCAGTATCAAACAAGTTGCAGAAAATACACATCTCCAGTATTATCATGAACTAAATTTAGTTTTTTAGGAAATAATCTCGCGTTAATTTGACAGATGCAGAGGCCAATGTCTAACTACTCGTATTTTTTGTATACCCACATGTTCGAGACTAAGAAACAACACATCAGAGTAGCCAAGTAGAGTAATTTATTTGATAGACCATGGCAAGAGACTGATGTATTCCAACTAGCTTTCTAAAGGACTGCGTACGAACAATGCAGTGTAGCGCAACGGGGTACCAAATGGCGTCGATGCAAGACCGTGTCCCTTCAGCTAATAGTGGGAGTTGCTGATCAGGATGGATATGAGTAGTATACGTTGAGAGAGCAGCAGAAATCATAAGGAATTACCAGCAATGGATAAAGGTTCTGCCGAGAGAAATATATTAATATTTTATTGCTGCTTGGAATACAACACTGGTGATATTTTTATATTTGACCTGAACAAATATTTGTTTTTTTCACCGCCGCTACAGGATATAGACACTGATATTTCATATCCTTTAGGAATCTTATTATTCAATAGAGTATTGGTGTTGTTTCTTTTTTTTTAACTTTCAAACTTGGAAGATTTTTTCACTGTGTTAATAGACCATACAAGTGCATCTTTTGAAAGTACATAACGTGTCGGTCGAAGAACAAGTTCACATTTAGTTCAAATGGTTGAATGGTGGTTATAATGCCTCAGTAGCTTAGTGGATAACGTTCTAACGTTTAAAGTGAAGGGTAGTGGGTTCAAACCTCATTGGGAACAAACAACATCACTCCACACTAGGGTTTAGGTACATTCAGCTGATGAGTCCCAAATAGGACGAAACACGTGTCCTGAATTCTTTCGTTAGCCATTAAGATCAATGGTCAATTACAAATGCTAAAAACTGCACTTTAGCCTCTAAGCAGTGATATCTGATATTCAAATATTTTAGATACCATTGATAAACATTTTGAATATAATTTGTAAAATGGTTAATAAAACTATCTGGAATAACTATCATCTGATACTGGGCAATGATTAAAAGTAAAGTGATTCATAGACCGCTTGTTCGAATCCTGTTTTCATTTAGGTTATTATTTCATCATACACTTATCATTCAGTATCAATTATTGAAATATAGACATATTTGAATGAGTAGAAATAAATTATGTTTCAAGTTTAAATGTTTATAACAGTTGAATGTAAACATAACACTTTTTTGCATTTAAAAAAAATTTAATTATTCTGTATTTCAGAGGAAAAATGAAGGAAAACTTTTACAGTTTCATTATACTAAATCTAAATTTTTATCTGAAGACCAAAATACTGATAAAGAATTTACATCTTATGATGTTGGATTATGTAAACGATGCAATAAAGTATACAATAAATATACAATTGAAAATGATGATAACTGTAATATATTTCCAAATTCAGATCTTACTACTCAAAACAATTTCAGTAGTCAGATACCTTCAAAAATTAATTGGAAGCCTAACTTTTCTAGTCAACAGTATGGTTCAGATACTAGAAATTATTATTCTACACAAGACAATTATAATGAATTTCAGGAATTTATTAATCATTCTAAAGTCAAGTAGGTGGAAAGTTTTTATGAAATCTTTTTAATACTTTCATAACATTTAGAAAACCAGTCTGTTGGTATATATTAGTAATGTTTTTCAATTGTGAATGAAAATGATGCATAATAATTTCAATGTCTTATTTCGTTGTTTACTTCTTCTCATTTGAAATTGAACGTTTTAGTATCATTTCACTTTTTATTTCCCATCTTCATTATAATTATTCTTTTTCCTTTGGGTTCCTAGTGGAACATACCGCTTCAACAGCACGCCTCCATTCCACTCTTTTCTCTCCAATCTCCTCAAGCTGGCGACACAACTGCTCACAACCTCTCATTTATTCCTCTCACCATCTGCTCTATGTCACTCTCAACTCCGACGTCCAACTCGTCTTTTCCCATCTCGCTTGGTTTACTACCAGCCAGCCAGCCAGCCAGCCAACCAACCACAGTTTCTTCTCCCTCATTCTTATCATTCTGGCCATATTTATGATCTTCAGTATCGAGTCAGTGTATGTGGCAGTTGTTGATGAATGTGTGTAGTCTGTTCGAAGTGCTTTTCGTGTCACGCCAAGTCTCTCAGTCATATAGTAGCACTGACTTGACTGGATTGGTGTTCACACTCTTTATGCTGAGTGCAGCAGATCTCCACACTGATTTCAGGTTAATGAACGCCTGTCTTGCTGTCTTTCGGATGCTGGCTTCTTTGATGTCCTCGTCTGTGTCACATTTCCTCCTTCAACTACAGTATAAATATCTCTTGATATCCAAATAAGTCGATAATATTGATTATTACATAGCTTTTTGTCTCTTTTTATTCAGTGTAGTTTGATACTAGAAAAATGTTTCCAATGAATTCCTATCAAATGCGCCTTGAATCAATATAATACTGTAGCTTTTATGAATTTTTCATCACTCGATAGAATAGAGTGTACATTTTACTAAAAAGTATTTACAATTTAACAGATTCGGAATTTAACAATTCAGTTTCAATTAGGTATCTAGTTCAAGTGTAGAATATGAACCTTCGTACTACATAATTGTATATTAAAATGATCATTACATCATACAGTTATATAGTATTATTTACTGGAAGACATTTTAGGAACTGCTAGAAGTGAGTTGTTCTCTGAGTTGAGGTTTCAGTCTAAAAACGCTTCGGAGTCATGCTAAGAATCATCATCAGTGAAATAGAGCGTCACAAGTGAAGTGATCACTCGCACACAGATTTGTTACTTAGTAAGTTTATCAGTGTATACCGAATCTGACTGATTGACTTCTTGCCTAGAGTTTGTCAATGCTTGAGTATAACAGAAGACAGTGATATACCCTTGACTGGTTGGCTTGCCTCAACTGAAGGAGTGTTCTTTGTCATTGACTGGTTGGTTAGCTATTTCCTGAGGACTGGAATCCTTTCTTAGTTGGTCAAATACAGACGATCAGTAAGTTAAACGTAAGTTATTTCCATCTAGTTGATGGATACACTGGCGATTGCTTTGCTTCTTTGCAAGACTGATTCACTGATAACAGTGTATGGTATAACACTGAAATACTTTTCATTTAAAAACCCAGCTCAGGTACCAACCCACTACGAACATCCATAACTTCAGCTACAAATATTTAGCAGATCCGTTGAATTCAACATTACGAACGGGAAAGACTGTCCGGATTCAGAAAGCACAAGTCATGTGCGGACCAAATTCCAACACTGCACTACGCATAACCATTAAACAAAGCCTACAATAGCAGTCAACACTCTACCTCAACTTTATCCACTTTGAAAAGGCCTTCGACAGTGTTGACCGAGAAGTAATTTGACAGGCAGCTGCTTCAACACTACAGGCTTAGTACCCCAAATCCTTATCAACCACATTCAACAACTATATGATGACGCCACATGATCCAAAATAGAAAGCTCAATGATGTGAAGACAAGAGTAAGACAAGGCTGACGCCTACTATCATCGATGATCTGCCTGATTATGGTCGACTGGAATGGACTGGATCATCCAGCAAACAGTGAGGAGCGAGAAGATAGGCATACACTGGCTAGACCGATGAGAAGCGCCTAGAAAATGTGGATTTCATCACCGATGATGATTTATATCTAATGTCCTGTTGCACAAACGTGGAGATGTACAGGCGAAAACTAACAAGTTGAAAGAAGAGGTAGGGCAGAGAAGGAAGATGAGAGTTCAAGTGAATGTAGAGAAGATGGAGGTGATGAAGATACCCAACCAACAACAACAACAACAACAACAACAACAACAGGACCAACGATAAGAGGCATCAATCACCATGAACGGGTGAAACCTGAAGGAGGTAGTCTCCTTCACCTACCTAGGTGTGGCAGCATCGTTTCAACGACAGGTGGCGATGGTGGCACAGATGAGGATATCAAAGCAGCCAGTATCGGAAAGACAGCAAGACAGACGTTCATTGACCTGGAATCAGTGTGGATATCTACTACACTCCACTCCACTCCACTCAGCAAAAACAGTGTGGACAATATCCAAATTTTCAACACCAATCCAGTCAAGTCAGTGCTACTATATGACTGAGAGACTTGGCATGTCACGATAAGCACTTCGAACAAACTACAGACATTCATCAACAAATGCCACATACACTCACTCGATACTGAAGATCATAAAGATGGCCAGAATGATAAGAATGAGGGAGAAGGAACAGTGGTTGGTTGGCTGGGTGGCTGGCTTGCTGGCTGGCTGGCAGGCTGGCTGGCTGGCTGGCTGGCTGGCTGGCTGGCTGGCTGGCTGGCTGGCTGGCTGGCTGGCTGGCTGGCTGGCTGGCTGGCTGGCTGGCTGGCTGGCTGGCTGGCTGGCTGGCTGGCTGGCTGGCTGGCTGGCTGGCTGGCTGGCTGGCTGGCTGGCTGGCTGGCTGGCTGGCTGGCTGGCTGGCTGGCTGGCTGGCAACGAACCAACCAACAACCTATCACCCAACATATGTGCAGTAGAAGGAAGTGGATGTGGATTTGACCGGACATACACTGAGATGGCTGACTGGGGACATCACGTGCCAGGCGAGTCGGTCGAGTGGAATGGGAATGGGGAACGACGATTTGTTCGTGTGAGTTGAGGGTGATATGGAGGATATCATGTGATGAATAGATGAGAGGTTGTGGGCTTTTGTGTTGCCATCGTGAGGAGATTGGAGAGAAGAGAGTGGAATGGAGGTGTGCTATTGAAGCGGTATGTTACACTAGGAAGCCGAGGGAAAAATAATCATAAATAAAAGTGTGGGAACTTTTTTCCGCTTATCTTCAGATATCACATTTCTTGACTTTAATAATAAGCTCTGCCTTCAGTGAGTAATAAACTATGCTTTAAATGTTATCCGGTAAAACAATCCTATACTGCAATTTGCTATATCGCATACATTGGTAAACAATCACCAAGGAATTTCATTCACGTTGCATTTTGAATTATTGGAGTATTTATATGTTGATTCTTTAAAAATCTTCTCCAAATTGTTCCTTTTGAAATTCAGCTGAATTCAGACGTTTTTGTTCGGTGTTGTTTCACAAATAGTCTGGGAGTATTAGAAATGTTGAAAGATATTCAGGTAGAAAATACTCACATTGTGCAATCAATTTCGAATATACGCTGTTTATCTATCCTTGCTAATAATTGCGAGAGAATGTGATCAGTCTCTTAAAATTATTGTATCTACTTGTAGTTACTTATCTTATTGATAGAAAACATATTATTTCTCAAATAGTTGATCTAAGACTAACTACAGTTCAATTATTGTTAATCTCACTTTTTTGAAATTTTCAAATCTGATAAGAGATTTCTCATTTGGTTGTAAAAAGACTTTACCTCCTAAATGAGTCATTCACATAGTCATTAAGTAGAAGCCAATAGGTACATACTCATATTCACTGTGTATGTTATAATAATAAACCTGTTTTATACTGGGTAGTAATTGAAGGTGAGATGAAAATCTGAATCGCGGCCGTATTCGAACCAGCCACCACCGGGTTACCGGCCCGGTGCTCTACCAACTGGGCTATGAGCTTCGACTCCTGGTTCGAATCCGACCACGGTCCAGATTTTCATCTCACCTTCAATCATCACCCAGTACAAATACTAGTCTGCCAAACTATGGCGATCACAGGTGGTCAAATCATAAACCTATTTTAGTTGTCTGTCCTTTGGAACTTGTATAATAGGTTAGTGACTAAGTTAGGCAATCGAAAGGAGAATCATGTACCAGGTTTCTTTCGCTTTTAATCATTCAGTTTTGACAAAATATTCAGTAAACGTTAGTTGTTTGAATTAAGTGATGCATTTCCGCAAAGTAATTCGAATAATAGAGAAAATGAGAAGTTTAACAAAGGTTGCCGATTACATTCACCATATCTGTATGATCACAATTTATACATTTAACTGTGTTGGACAGTTACAAATTTTTTATTTATTTTGAAGTAGTACTCATGATAAAGTGACATCACTTTGCGAACCACTGAAAACCTAGGTGCAAATTGATAAGGAGTCCTACACTAGGAGGAACCAGTTGACCAGCGCCCTCAGGTTTTTAATGACTCTCCAACTGACATCATGTCCGTGATGAATACTACCTCTAAGTTAAAATCCCTATTCATCTCAAAAATGCATTACTATATAGTGCTCATTAGTGGTGTGCTTTTAGATGGATATCACAAAGTTCTTATAAGAAGCCATGACTTGTTGGGTCAACCAGTCGGAAGGGAAGTAGATGCCAACTGAAGACCTTGGGTGATAGTCATACTATATCGTGAATTGACAGAAGTTGGAAACTATGAACCATTGGACTTCCATCCAGTGGCTGAATGGTAGACGGATTCTCCGTTAAACCTGAAGATCCTGAGTTCCATACCTAGCCGGGTGATGGGTACGTACTGCTGAGGACGAAATAGCTGTCCAATGTTCCCAGGTTTTCAATGACTTCCTAAATGATGTCAGTCCATGATGAATACTATCTCAAAATAAATTATTTAATTATTTACAACAATCTGATCACTCACGTAATTACCACCTATATTTATATGGAAAAGAATTAAAGGGTGAGAATATAAAAAGAGGCCAAGTCGGAAGGCTAAATTCAAGGTCAAATAACATTGAAAATTAATAACGAGAAAACAGTAGTACATCAAACTTAGTTTCATAGTGAGATTCAGTTCTTCATTGACCACTGTATTAGTAACATACCTGGACGGTGTTTTAATAATCAATTGAAATAAACTGCGCATGAGTCAATATACAAAAATATTATCTTATTTATTATTAATACACAAACGTCGTACACCAAAGGCCTCCACCAAATGCTCCACACAAAATAATATAACAACATCATGAAGACATAAAGCGAAGAAAAGTGGATAAAAATGAAACACAAGGGCAGTCCAGTGAAATACACTCATAACAAAACATTCATTAGTCTACAGCACCAGAAGATAGAAGGAAGATACAGCATGATCACCACTGGTTTCCATTCTCAGCCACATCTGATAACGTCTCAAGCCACTGAGTTGCGTAACCTCTCAGACCCCAACCAGGGAGTAATGATACACCAACACACACAACTATCCTTCATCTCATGGCTCTTCGTCATACACTACCCACCCCATCCCGCCTCTTCCATCCAGTCCCACAGATACCAAACAGTTAACGATATGGAAACCGTTGGGAAGAGAAGCATAACACATGTCCAAGCCACGGGAGCTGGTGTTTCCAGATGACTTCACTTATTGAATGACGATCTCCATCATGCCCAAACACTGTCGCACATCACAATTACTTGCATGGTATTGCCACCGGATTCGAGCGATTCTACAGAGAAAGTGATGATCAAACACAGAGTCGTTGCGTATCCTTAGCTCGGAGAAGCCAGGTTTTATAGGCATAAAGCAGAACTGCTCTCACCGAAGCGTTGTGAACCTAACCATTCACGGTCAGACTAACGTCACGACGATGCAAAGGTCACCCAGATTAAGGTATGCCACATTGGCTTTCGATATGCGGTTTGAAATCTCACCTCTGAGACCTCTACCAGCATTCACATAACTACTAAGATACATGAACTTCCTGACTATTTCCAATGACTCATCACCGAGATTGAGCGCAGGCAGAGACTGTTGCCAAGCTTTCTAAAGCACTTTTGCACTTTAATGGTACAAAGTCTATGCCATACTTACGGATACTAATATTACAGATATATCTCATGCTGCTACTTGTAATTATTAAATTTCAATAATTATCTATCTCTTCCTATTCATTTAGACATTATACTACCACAGATCCTGATAAGATTAGAAGTGTCAAACATTGTAGTTGCTGTGTGCATAATTATTTTAGAAATCTAAATAACCGAAACTTTTCACAACCTAACTATAAAGAACCAATGAATCAGATGACCAAATCTCATTCATATTCATTTAAAAATGAAAATGGTTCGCATAATGAATACTATAACTTACAATCTGTTGATATGAACAGACAAATTAATCATAAATTAAACGAAACATTTACAATTAATATACCTCATCTAAACAATCATAATGATAGATTTCATGAAAGTGAAGAAGGCAATCAGTGTTATTGCATAGAAGAAGTTGAAAATCCACGATATAATGATAATGTTATTGTTGATTTAAGACTAAAACACAAGAGAGATATTCAATCACCAGTTTCATCTCATTTTAAACAAAAAATAATCATTTTAAAACAACCTAAAGTCTCAAACATTTCTACGCAAACAGACAAACAAAATGAAGAATGTCAGGAAAAATTCTGTAGGCTATGCAAAAAACAAAAAACTTTCAATACTGAATCGGTTGATAAAACAAAGGCTATTGAAGATTTAGAGGTACGTAATATATTTACGTGCTACAATTAACCATTTTCTATTAACAATTATTATTATTACTTGTCCCTTGGGTTCCTAGTGGAACATACCGCTTCAACAGCACGCCTCCATTCCACTCTCTTCTCTCCACTCTCCTCAAGCTGGCGACACAACTGACCACAAACTCTCATTTATTCATCACATAATATCCTCCATATCAACCTCAACTCACACGAACAAATCGTCGTTCCCCATTCCCATTCCACTTGACCGACTCGCCTGGCACGTGATGTCCCCAGTCAGCCTTCTCAGTGTATGTCCAGTCAAATCCATCTCCACTTCCTTCTACTGCACATTTGTTGGGTGATAGGTTGTTGTTTGGTTGGTTCGTTGCCAGACAGCCAGCCAGCCAACCACAGTTCCTTCTCGCCTATTCTTATTATTCTGGCCATCTTTATGATCTTCAGTATCGAGTCAGTGTATGTGGCAGTTGTTGATGAATGTGTGTAGTTTATTCGAAGTGCTTTTCGTGACACGTCAAGTCTCTCAGTCATGTAGTAGCATTGACTTGACTGGATTGGTGTTGAAAATCTGGATGTTGTTCACACTGTTTTTGCTGAGTGGAGTGGAATGGAGTGCAGTGCAGTGCACTGGAGTGCAGTAGATCTCCACACTGATTTCGGGTAATGAACGCCTGTCTTGCTATCTTTCGGATACTGGCTTCTTTGATATCCTCGTTTGTGTCTCCATCGCCACCTGTATTTGGAACGATGCTGCCATACCTAGGTAGGTGAAGGAGACTACTTCCTTTAAGTTTCTCCCGTTGATGGTGTTAGGAGCTTGTTGTTGTTGTTATTATTATTATTAGTTGTCTATCACCATTTGTTATAGATTGACTTAATTAGGTGGTACAAGTAGCATTATCATGAAAGTCGTTAAATAAATAAGAATATGCGTGCGTCATGGTATTCCACTACCTAGTAACAGCTGTTTCTGCTACGCTACAGTTCGCTCTGTACCACTACATGACTGTGAAACGTGGCCATTATTGGTAAAGAATATGAGAAGACTTTAAATGTTTGATCATTTTTACCTTCCTATCATAGGGTATATTTCGTTTTGTCACTATGTCAGTAATACTGAAGTCAAGTACAGAGTTTTGGTCAAAAAGCGAAAGTTGATTGATGAGGTTGTCGACCTTAATCAATTCAGACGGTTGGAAAATATGCTACACATGCCAAGCCACCGTCTTCTCTGTCGAACAATTTTAACCGAAGTGAACAGGAGCTGGAAGATGGCCAGAGGCAGTTAGACATAAAACATAGCATTGAAGTCATTGACTGTCGATTTGATCTGTGTATAGAAATGTAGACTTCCAATTTGAGGTTTGCTTGATAACAGAAGATGGTGGTACGAAACTTTAGGTGATACGAATGAGAATCGATGTCATTGGTGTAGACGTTTCCTCGCATTATCTTCATCTCAGCCACCTCTCTGAGTTCTAGTATTGTCTCTCTCTTTTCACGACTTTCTAACAATTCAGATTGCATTCTTTCTTATTTCTCGACCATTCATCTTGAAATCTTCTACCGTGATATGTTGATAAAAACTATGGCACCTTGAAGCATTACACAGGATTCCGAGATCTCCTATTGACAGTATCTCTCGCCTTCTCTCCGTTGAGGGATACTTCCTGGCTGAATTTAAATCAACAGTAGTAGCTTCGTTCAACAGTAAACTCATTGGATCTTACTTAATTATCATATAATTGAAAGTGTTTACCAACTTGGAATATTTCCGACTCCCCCAACCCCTCCCCCCCTCAAATTCAATTGAACTGGTGCTCATTGATGACTAGCTTCGAGAGGTATTCTCGAAGATCCAATGAAAAGTCGTGACCCGTGGGGGCAAAGCCTGATGTTCGTGAGGACAGTTAATCAATGATGACATTGGGTGGCGGTTGAGCTATATTGCGAGCTAGAAGAAGTTGGAAATATGGACGATTGAATTGTGACCCAATGGCTCAATGGTAACGTGCTGGTCACGGAACCTGAAGGTCACGAGTTCGACCCCTGGAGGGTGGGATCGTGATTACGCATTGCTGAGGAGTCCTATGCTAGAACGAAACAACCAGCTGTTCAGTGCTCCCAGGTTTCCATTGTTCTTCCAACTGATGTCAGTCTACGATGAATACCAACTTGAAAAATCTCTAGATCCCCACAAACCCACCAAATTCATTTTGAATAGCTTAGCTAGAGATAAAAAGATATCTAGAAATATGTTCGACAGAACAATACATCTTGATTCTTTATGCTTGTAGCTACAAGAATTATTCACCGTACCCAGATGCTCAAATAGATTTGTCACAAATTAAACGTATGGAAGTTGAATCAGGTTGTCTCACTGTTTTTCTGATACTTCTTTCCTCAGTTGTGAGTTTACCGCATCAGTTATCCTAGCTGTTTGCAATTGGTTGCCTATCACTACTTTGAATGCTTAACCCTTTTCGTTTTATTTCATGTACTAAATAAGTGCAATAAACTGGATTCAGAAACCCAGTATTAGTCACTATGAAAGTTATAATTACAAATCATTGGATTCAGTGATATCTGGAAAGCAAATCAAGAGGATTTCCCCGGAGTTCTAATAAGAAGTCACGACCGGTGTGGAAAACCTAGTTAGATATGAGGACAAATACTCATCGTTAGCATTCCATGAAGCTCGCATTATGTCGTGAATCGACAAAAGTAGGAAAATGTGAAATACTGAGTTCTGATGCAGTGGCTCAATAGCTAAACGTCTTAAGTACGGTCACCGAAGAAAACAAAGTCATGCATGCGTACTGTTTAGGAGTCCAAAAATAGGACGAAATAAGCGCCCAGAATCTCAAAGTTTTTAATAGTTCACCAACTGATGTCAATGTGTTATGAATACCAGCTTGAAACCAATAAATCATTACCTGTTATTCTCTCCGTCTAACTCATTCTTATCCTGGCGTATTTACCGAGTAATATCTGTAATATCAGTATGAAGAGATGAAATATACCAGCCATTTGTACATTACTCTTCCAATCAGCAAACTTTAGACATCATACTTGACTACTATATTATATTAACAGATAATATTTAGGCATTATATTAAAGTCGAAATGAAGTTATATTTCTCATTTCTGCTCACTTCAAACGAATAACTGTATGCGACCAAAGAACTCACTTTTGTGCTTAAGCCTTCATCCTTTATATAATTCACCGACAATAATATAAAATGTGGAACTAGTTATATGAAAGTGCAGTAACATCTAACAACATCTATGCAGACTGATAAATATCACGCATATAGGGTCTGGCATTACTGTCACCTCCATATCACTGAGTTAAAGTGAAATTCAAGCAAAGAAAAGATATATGTTGAAAACACCATAAGACAATGAGAAAAGGAGACAGGATAGTAAAGACATCTTATATTACTGCTTAGGTGAAGGAAAGGTACACTTGGATTTCCATCATTGCTATCATCTCTTTCCATTTTCCTGAGAAACATATCCTAATGGCTCACATTTCAATATGTGGTCCAGAAAAAACGTCGAAAAATCTGTGTGCTGGCGTCATATCAATATATGCTTCACAACTTCAATCGAACCAAATTCACCAACTTATCTATTGATTAGGCTTTCCTACATAATTATCTGTACGTGATCGTAACACCTCTTCATCTGGGGTTCAGACACACGTGACTAATACTGTGAATACACATACTTATTACGTAATATCTAGGACATCATCTTGTCTTCTCCATTCAGATGCTGTCTTTCTCAGACATACAGAACGGCAGAAAGGATGGAAACACAGTGTTCCCACTTTTTAGTATCTTACCAAAGTCACAGATAGATTATTTTTGTGAGTAGAAAATCTTATTAGATTATTTGTTTGATATGGAATACATTGGATGATGTTTCGAACAGAATTAACTACTTCGACATAATTATTAGTTATAAAATTTACTTGAAACGTGATCTGATAATTAACATTGAATTACTGTGAGTTGTATCAAACGAGCAACCTATACATGGTCCAGAAGTTGTATATCTAAGAGAGATTTTACAAACTACTGAAAGCAGAATAAGTAATATGTACGTCAATCAGTGAAAGATTATGTTACATCGTTAACTTCTCATGCTAACCAAGTTGCATTTCTATCTAATGTCAATGTAAGTGAAAAACTTCGGTGTAAGTTCTATTTTAGACGGTTTACTAGGTGTATCACATAAGAAATGAGTATTATTTTACTGGATAATGTTTTGGATACAATTTATTGGCTATCATTATGTTAAGTTAGATTCATCACATTGAGACATGGTTTCTACAGTTCTAATTCCCCCTTCAATTTTGTGATATAAATAGTAGAATTCTCCGTATATCTGAAATAAGTGTTAAATCATACCTTCTGCACATATTTCGTACTGACTCGATAAACAAAAATTCGCTTGTGAATAAGTTTGTATGAACAATCTAACAATCTCCTTTAGTTTGTTTATTAAATGTATGACAGAGTGAAATTGTATAATATACTGGACAAGACTTCGGATATAATTTACTGTCCATATTTATATAAGATGATATGATATGAAATATTACCCAGTGAAAAATAATACTGTTTCACTGTTCGACATATCTTATAAGCGACAGTCTACCCTAGTACCTCCGTTTTACTAGCATATTAATCTAAAAACCTACTTTATTTCAAGTTTCCACTGAAGAAAATCTATTCACAGGTTCAAATTAAACTTACAAACAAACGCATCATATATTTACTATTCCTAAAGTCGTTTTCTACCAGTCATACATACCGTATATACAGTAAGAAGTGTTACGCCACGTGAGCTCACCAACTTTATTTTACTGTTTACTTGTTTATTACGATTAGGATTATCACTCATTATTTATATCTCTTCAAGAACTCTAATTTTTCTGCTCGGTGGATCGACTGGGAGAGACAACTGACAAATCCGACCTTAGACGAGTAGAACAATCATCCGCTGCATAGATTACCTCGATTTGGCTAGTAAGCATTATGTCTCTACCTGACTGGTCTATTAATTCTCATGTTAGTCAGTACAGTTTCGTACAGTATTTATGCTCATTATTCCAAAGGGATTTTCGACGTCCAGTGTCATCGATCATGTGTGTTGGGTGTTGATTCGATGAACAAAGATTCAGTAGTCAATATCTCTCTATCTTCACTTAAGTACAGTGGTTTCATCCCACCCACCCTATTGTGTGGTTGTGTGTTAATGCATAGATTGCCATAGCCGGGTTATTTCTAGATTATTGATCTTGTTGGAATCTGTTATTCTATATTTAGCTAAATTCGTATGTTTCGCTATTCTAACTGACTCTGACCGGCTAGTTTGACCTATGTACTTGATCCCACAGTCATTACATGGAATTTGATAGACTAGATTATTTTACTTAAGTATATCTGTCGGATCTTTAAGCCAACAAAGCTTATCTCTGAGTGAGTTTGTAGGTTTCAATACTAGTCTAATTCCAATCTTGTTGAGAATCCTACATAAAGTTTCTGATATTCCCTCCAAATATGGTCACAGTATACAGGCTTTGAATTCCCTTCTACTCGTATTTTCGCCATTGTTCATAGTCATAGTCGCTTAATTAGTTACGTTTCTAGCTTTGCTATTTAGAAATTCGACTAAACCCACCTTAAGTGACACCGAATAAGATGACTGTCATCATTACAAACTTTGTAGTTTGTAAACACCTCAATGGGAAATAACCCTCATATAAGCTTTCAGTTCACTAGTCCTTATTCTTGTTCCAATTTTTCCAGTTTTACATGGATTCCAGTTTAATCATGTCATTGTTTCTTTTGTTTGTTTTTTTTATTTCCAATTGTTTATCAGACTAAACAGAGATATTCTTCTCAATTAAATGAACAATATTTACCAAATGAAACTATTCTCACCTCTGACTGTTATGCACATCGACAGATATCACCATATAATAGTGAAAATCAATTGCCTAAAGCGCTTGCCACATCAACACCACTTGTTCAATGTATAGATTATAATAAAACTATTCATGAGAATAAATCAAGCATAAATAAGTCGAAATTCTACTACAGTTTTCAGATGCCTAAAAGTATACCAGAAGAGAATAATACTCATGATATAACAAATAGTTTAAATGAAACCGCTGAATCTTTTATTACGATGAATTTATTAAAAGTGGTAGGTAAAAGTATATCACTGGAAAATATCAATTATATTGATAATGAAGAATAAAAAACAAAAAACCGAAGTGATTATATAATATATTTATTCTGTTAACTTTTCCTCTTTACACATATTATACAGTATAATGTGTTGCCAATTTTTCAATAAACAAGTTTCACCTACTTTATATTGAATTGTATTTTGTTATCACTGTGTAAGAAGGGAGAATATGAATTCTAAGGTTTCGCACTAGTTGGTGCTCATCAGTAGAGCAAACTCAGAAATTCAAGTAGGTTGGGATGGATTTAATTACACTACACTAAATATTTGGATACCTTTTTTTCTGCTAAATAAAGTAGTTCAAAGATGTAAACTCTTTACCTGGAGTGAAAGCTTTTGATTCAATGATTCAATGTTAAGGATCAGTAAGTTCAAAATTCAACTTAATATAAACAATAAGTAGACAATTTAGTATTGGGTTTAACATATGTATTAGATATTTCTGAGTATAGTGACTACTTTTGTGTTATAATCAGGCTTGTATATCATTCGGATGCATTTGAGCTAAATAGGCTAGAACACTTTGCTGTAAAGTTCTATAATGCTGGGAAGTTCAGTTGTGTGGAGATGCGAATGATAACAGCTAATTTCATGAGTAATATACCATAAAACATTTTGATATGAAAGGGATTCGGAAGTTATGCTGCTGCCTATTTTTGGAGATAGTAGAAGCAAGTTGTTTTTACAGTATAAACAGAATCACTTATTTTCACTTCTTTCCTTTATTACAAGAGAATGTTATAAAATGTTGTCCCTGAAAGTAGTACATACATTCTCATCCTCTGAAAGTATGAAGCTGTCTTAAAGAGATAACTTTCAACTAATGGGTTGCGGTTTCGAAACCCGCCTGGCTTATTGAGGGTTAGGCAACTCGGTAGAACCATTAGCCAACCCTCATGCATTATTCGTGACCCACTGTCTATTCCACGATTGTTAACAAGGTTATTATTTGGATTTTCAAAAATGTAGCCAGTCAATAGTATCAGCAGTTAGGGATTGTCATTCAAACATACGCCTTTCGTAGCACCTAATTCCTTTGTAATTATTATTACTATTATTATTATTATTATTATTATTACCTTTGTTCACTGCAGTACAAGCCTTTTTCGTTACTCTTCTCTAATATCTACATACTATTCTTTTTACCTGTCTATGGTTTTCTCTCTATATCGCGTCCCTTTAACTTTCCTTTTCATCTGTTGATGAAATGCGCAACAATCTAGATAGTTGGATAATAATTCCAGTTATTATGTTGATTTCGTTTGTCTATAGTAGACATGAAAAGAAAAAAGGCATGCATCAAATTTGAAAGTTATATTGGGAATCTAACCAAACTGAAGAATAAATGTCTCTTAAGTAGTGTCTATCCACGCTAATAGATATGCTCTTCAGCCTATGAAAATGTGTCCTTTAAACAAATGATTTATATTAATACTGGGTGATTCAAGGTGAAATATAAATCTGGGCCGCGGCCGGATTGAAATCAGCATTCACCAGGTTTCTCGCCCGTAGCTCTATTAAATCACATACAAGACCCAACTGATGACCACATTTTTATTTCACTTCAATCAGTAAAGGTTTTGCCGGACTACCATATGAAATCATAACGTTACTGTCACTTGACCATTTACTGGCTGATCAGTCAGCGACTTCTCATCCAAATCTAAATTTATTTGAATTCGAGGGGAGGAGAAGCATCATACTGATTATCAGTTTGATTATTTCAGATAGCCTGTCTATTTCAAGTAGATTTGAATTGGAATTAGAAGTCCCCACTGGAAGTTAGTTTGAGTATGATCAAGTGATAGTACCACGTCACGAATTCACATGATAGTCAGGCAAAACTCCTAGTTATTGAAGTGAAATAAAAATCTGGTCAACAGTCGGACCTCGTGGTTTAGTTGATAGAGCACCGGGCTGCAAACCCGGTAGTTGCTGGTTAGAATCCGATCGCCGTCCAGATTTTCATTTCACCTTGAATCATTACTTAGTAAAAATGACATTTATTTTTCTATTTCGTTCGCCGTGAAACCTGAAGGTCTTGAGTTCGATCCCTAACAGGGTCATGGGTGCATGCTGCTGAGGAGTCCCATAATAGGACGAAATAGCTGTCCAGTGCTCACAGACTTTTAATGGTTCCCCAACCGATCTCAGTCCATGATGAATACTACTTCTAAACTAAAACATCCTTATTCATCTCGAAAATACACTTATTTTTCTATTTATTATTCTATTTTCAACCCTGAATATTTTATATAAACTATAATCAAGATTTGATTGTATTATATGGCAAATATTGGGCGCTGAGTTAAGGGTTAACATTACATATAGATCGTATTTGTGTAAGTCACAGTGGGTTTGAAATCAAATAATTCCATCGTTTCGCAAGGAAGTATGGGAAATAATCAAAATTAAAATATCAAGGATATATAAATGAGTAGAGGTCGAACACAATTCGATCCAACAAAACAATGGTAAATAACAAGTATGTCAATAAATACTAATAACTACTACCCGTTGTACAAGAAGTGGCTATCGTTCCTCTGTTGCATAGTGGATAACGCCTTGGCGTTTGAAGCGATGGGTGTGAGGTTCAAGTCTCAATGGGAACAACATCACTGGGGTGCAGGTACATCCAGCTGACGAGTCCCAAATAGGACGAAACGCGCGTCCTGGATCCTTCTTCTAGCCACAACCAACCAGTCAAATTATCATAATTAAAATTCAGGCAATATCGAAGCATCCGCATAGCAGCCCATATGCCAACAGAGGTTGAACAATTCGACCCAACAACACAACGGAGAATAACAAGTATATCAATAAATATTAATGATATATAAATGAATTCAAACAACGTGTATTTAATCTCCTTGTCCAATCGTCTTCGTATAGTCATTGTTTGTTTTTTCTAAATTATGATAACTTATCATACAGTGTGAAATTGTATGTGATATGTGTATGTATATATGTACTCCAATTCATATTCATCTTGATTCATAATATCAGACAAAAAGGACACTGGTGACAATCATTCCGTAACTTTATAGGTATAAATTGAAAAGGATGAAGTGGATGTGTATACAATTTCAGTTGGAATAACGTGGTGAATTTATTATTATTTATCCCTTGGGTTCCTAGTGGAACGTTGGGCTTCAGTAACACGTCTCCATTCCACTCTCTTCTCTTCCAACTTTTGAACCTGGCTTCACCACTGGTTACAAGCTGTCATTTCTTCCTCACAAGATATTCTCAATGTCATCCTCAGCACGGACAACCAAATCATCGTTTCCTATTCGGATTTCACTCGACCGACTGGCCTGGCACGTGATGTCTCCAGTCGGCCTTTTCAGTGCATGTCCAGTCAAATCCATCTCCACTTCCTTCCAGTGCATATTTGTTGAGCGATAGGTTCTTGCTTAGTTTGTTGCCAGAGTTTCCCGTCGCTTACTCTTATTATTCTGACCATTTGATCTTCAGTAACGAGCCAGCATAGGCAGTTGGTAATGAATGTGTGTAGTTTGTTCGAAGTGCTTTTCGTACCGCGACAAGTTTCTGAACCATCCCATAGAAGCATTGACTTGACTGGATTGGTGTTGAAAGTCTGGATGTTGTTCACACTGCTTTTGCTGAGTGGAGTGGAGTAGAGTGCAGTGCAGTGCAGTAGATCTCCATACTGATTTCAGGTTAATGAACGCCCGTCGTGCTGTCTTTACGATGCTGGCTTCTCTGATATCCTCGTCTGTGCCGCCACCGCCACCTGTAGTTGAAACGATTCTGCCACACCTAGGTAGGTGAAGGAGACTACCTCCCTTAGGTTTCACCCGTTAATGGTGATTGGTGACTCATATCGTTGGTGCTGTTGTTGTTGTTGGTTGGGTATCTTCATCACCTCCGTCTTCTCTACATTCACCTGAAATCTCACCTTCTTTCGCTGCCCTGCCTCTTCTTCCAACTTGTTAGTTTTCGCCTGTACATCTACGAGTTTGTGCAACAGGACATTAGACATAAATCATCATTGGTGGCGAAATCCAAGTATTCTAGGTACTTTTCCCCGGTCCAGCGTATTCCCCTCTTCTCATTCCTCACTGTTTGTTGCATGATCCAGTCGAGTCGACCATAATCAGGAATATCATGGGTGATAGTAGGTGACAACCTTGTCTTACTCCTGTCTCCACTTCACTTCAAAGGCATCACTGAGCTTTCCATTGTGAATTACTTGGCTGGTATGTGGCGTTTTCATATACTTGTTGAATGAGGCTGATAAAGGTTTGTGGTATTCTGTCTGCCTGCCAAATTACTTGTCGGTCGACGGTGTCGAAGGCCTTTTCAAAGTGGATGAAGTTGAGGTAGAGGGTTGACTGCCATTCCATACTCTGTTCTATAATCATGCGTAGTGTCACGTTTCAATTTGGTCCGCATATGATTTGTTCTTCCTGAATCCAGCCAGCCCGTTCCGGTCGAAGTTTTGAATCCAGCACATCCCTTAGTTTCTGCAGGATGATGCGGCTTAATATTTTGCTTGAGGGAACAAGAGCGTGATTCTGCGCCAGTTCTTGCAAACACTGAGGTTTTCCTTCTTCGAGAGTTTGACAAGGTATGCCTTCTTCCAATCAATAGACAGGTACCTTTCCTTCATTCCAGACCTTCTGCAGTAGTGGTGTGAGCATGTCCACTGTTGTCTCTGCGTCTGTGCTCAGTGCTTCCGGTGGGATTCCATCTGGTCCTGCTGCTTTCCTAGATTTCAGTAGCTTCAGGGCATTCAGGACTTCTGCTTTTGGTGGAGGGCTTGTGTTCACTGGTGGTTCCGTGGCTGGGCTGCAGATGGTGATGGTGGTGGTCGATTCAAGAGCTTTATAAAGTGGTCAGCCCATCGTTTCCTTTGTTTCTCTTCTTTGGTAATTAGATTTCCTTCATCATCTCTTATTGGTTGCATCTGCGTTGATCTCTTCTCTTCCAGATAGTAACCTGGTTATTTGGTACAATATTGTCAGCTCTCCCACCAGCAGCCTGTTCTGCTTCACTTGCCAGTGTGTCGTGGAAGTGCCTTTTGTCTTTCCGCGTGCTCAGTACCTCTTCTCCTCGTTCGTCCTTGAACTGATTTACCTTCTGCTTCACCATCCTCCTCT